GTCACTGAGCCTCGCCTCCATCTCAGCAAATATATTACATTTATTACAGGTACCATCATCATTGAAGTAGGCAGGGGAATAGCTAAACACAGCAGAGACCGAGACATCGCTAACTGCTAGACGAGGCGAGTGGGGGGTGGGGGGTGGAGAGCAGAGGTAGAGGGAGGAGTGGCTCATGCAGACTTTGTTTTGGTCTACAGGCAGTGCACAACAGCAAACCTAGCGGTGAAACGATTTCGCTTATTGCTCCTTTAAGATGACAATATGGATCAATGTTTTCATTTTGCATTGATGTAATCGGATCGTTAATCAATGAATCGATGTGGATCGATGTATCATTACACCCTACTATTTACTGTTGGTGCATCAGCAAGAAGTCAAGACAACTTACTGTGTGTGGTTTTGGATAACCATGGACCTTCGTCATGTGTATTCTTAATTTTTCCTTCTGCATAAACTGTTCATGACATGTTGAACACTGAAAAGAAGAACATGTCAATAAGTTTCTAATCTGATATAAAATTTATTGTATGCAGTGTTTCATCTGTGTTTATCAGGCTGTACCCTGTGGGGCATTTCTCCTGTGTGGGAGACGACGACGTGCAGATGCAGCTTTTTTTTGTCGTTAAATGTGGAGGGGCATATCAGGCAGGTGTACGTCTGGAGTTTTAACACAGCACAAACAATGATGTTACACTTTCTGGGATCTTATTTGATACTGAAGACAGACTTAAGGATACTCACCTGGACTTTAGCACAGCCTCTGACCTCATGTGCTACAAGATTCTTCTTCCTGAAGTACCTCTTTCCACATTTAAGGCAGCCAAAGGGACGCTCTCCTGTATGCTGCCTGCGGAAAAACGCACATTAGTGGCTTTTCTTTAAACTGTAATTTGAGGCGATAATACTGATGTCTTTTACCTGTTGTGGACTTTGAGGTAATATTTGCTCTTGAAGGTCTTGTCACAGACGGGACACTGCACAGAGCCCTTTTTAGAGTCTTTCTCCACAGCCTCATCATTCTCATTTTTGTCCGTTTCACTTCTGGCTTTGCGTGTCGTTGACATGGCTGAGGAACTCGGTTTGTGAACAGGCACATACTCCTCATCTGTGTTTTCAGTGATCCCTTCCACATTCCCCACATCATCATATTCTTCTTCTTCTTCCTCTTTTATCTGCCAAACACCATAGTTGTTTGTGTCAGTCTGCGAGTCAGTTACCTGCAAAAAGAACAAGACACATTTTCACCTTTAAAATCATTGTTTGCACCTGTAATTACATGAAGCTAATGTCTTAAAACTGTAATACTTTTTCCTATATCTGCCCATGTATTCTACCTCAGTTTCACCAGTTGGCTGATATTGGTTTCGGCTCTCCAGACAAAGATCATCCCTCTCTGTCTCTGTGGGAAGAAGTGGAGTCTTCCTGCTTGGTTTTCCAGGAGCTGTAAAATCAGCAGTGAGGCTCTGATCAGTCACCAGTCGCCTGGGGCCCTTAACTACTCGACCAGAGCGGGTGGTGGTGGCTACCATGCTAAAATTGGCTGAGGCGTGATCAAAGTCAGACTCATCTCTTATGGCTGTAAACACGTTCTCTTCTTTGACTGAACAGTGACGGGTTGTCACTGTTGTGGACTTTTGAGGTCTGCCTTTTTTACGCTTGTTGGGCGCGGGATCCACAGGATCCACAGGATCCACATGATTCACAGGACTCACAGAGGACTCCTTGAACTGCTGACAGAGTGCAAGCACTTCTGGTACACACAGGGTGGCTGCTGCGTGCTGCACCTTATCCAGGTTGTCAGGATCCAACTCCAAGTCTCCAGTGTAGATGAAGTTCAGGAGCAGCTCCAGGCCGTCGTTTGGGCCCTCCTGCAGGCAGAACTCCATGCACGATGCAGTGGGCATGTTGGAGTGTTGGAACAGTTCACTGAAACAAGCGAGGATGTTACGATGGGCCAGGTAGACCACCCCGCCTCCCACATTCAGCACTGCATCACAAAACCTGCCTGCCACCCTCTGCTGGTTCAGGGAGGACAGGACATGCTGTGCATGGCTGCTCTCTGCTGCAGGCATCCCTCTGCTCTCACTGTAGGCTGAGACACAGAGACATTACACTGTATATGAAGTAACTTATTACTTTACACATACAGTTTATTCAACACACTTTGACAATGGATATAAACTAACTGCAACTGAAGATTGTTTTATATCATCAACTAAAGGAGCAGTGTGTAAATTTAGGGGGATTTAGTGGGATCTAGCTGTGAGGATTGCAGACTGCAACCAGCTGAAACTTCTCCTGGTTAGTTAGTTAGTTCTTTGAGTTTTCATTGTTCAGGAGATTTTTACTGTGAGCAGAATTATCCACATTGGTCTGTTCCTCTACAAACAAGTCACATTCCTTGTTTATCTAAGCATCAGATAACTTAATAACTTAGGAACTTTATTATCCCAGCTATCGCAGTACAAAATAGGAAAGAGTGCAAATAAAACATTAAAAATCAATACGGTGCAAATCCAAAATATACACTGCTAAAAATATAGATAGCAACAAAAATGCTCTCTTAGTAATTAGACAATTATAAGGCTGTGATTAATTTATATAGAGTTTATCAGAAATTGCACAACATAAAACACAGCATGTTTGTAATGTTAATATTGTTAACAGCTGTTATGCAGAGCTTGATATTATTTGCATCAGGTTTAATCATCCACTTCTTTAAAACTTAGCTAACCTAATGACATCTGTCAGTAGCTACCATATTAAATATATTAACACAGTCTGAATATCTGTGGTATATTTTACTGTAGTAATTGTGTTTAAACACATTTTCTCTAAGTTATTGCTAACCCCTAACGTTAGCTCCCTCCGCGCCTCGACACTAGTTTAGGACGCTCCCTTAGCACGGCAGGCACCCACCTCTGTGAGACTCACGTCCGCAGTATCGATAAAAACTGATTATTGATCTCTTATATTGATAAGAAGCTGCGCCGACTTCGAGTGGATTGTAAAAAGGTTTAAAACGTAACAAAGCTGCTTCATGTACCTTGTTTTCGTTTCTTGTAGGCCCCTAAAAAATTGCAAAGGGAAGAGGAAGTGACGTCGACGTAACTCCGGGAAAAGTGTTTGTTGTCCATTATTAAACATCAATACGTATAAAAGTAACAGTAAAAGTGTCACAAATTAATTAGTATTTGTGACTACATTACTTGTTTTGTTACTCTCCACTTGTGTGTGACTACGGTGAATAAAATGTAGTTTTTGTGTAATAACGTCGTCGTAAATAATAAAACTCCGGGTGGAATTTAGTCGACCATCTCGGGAGGGGGCAAGATGGCGGAGATGGAAGCGGATAAAGGGAGATGGGTTTGAAAAAGGGAGCGGTAGAAAAGAAAGGAAACATGAAGCTACAGTGACGACAGCGAGGAACAAAGAGAAATTCACTTGGCTTTTAAAAATACATTTTATTGAACAAGTTGTACATATGACTCATGTTGACATTAACAATAACCATAGTGTGAAAAACTGGCCAGTGGGTTTAGGTTGGGTGGTGCAGACTATTTAAAGGATAACTTAGGCATTTTTCAACCTTGACTCTATTTCCCTATGTGATTTGGTCAAAGAGACTGATGTGAACAACAGTTTTTGAAATTGGTCCAGTATTGAGGGGCCCATATACAATCAGCACGCAACTCATAGATGGAAAATAAGTGGGGTCTTTTTTATCCAGTCCAAAGTCCAACTATTCTTCCAAGAGAACAATTCATTCACAACAGCTAGATCACATTTTAATTACACACAAATACATACGTGACACTGGGTCACATGGCAAAGTGGTTGTCCCTGTACAAAGAGGTTAACTGTCAAGAGTTTTTGTCATTGTAAGTGACAAATTTAACTTTGCTACACGGCAGATGTCCTGTGTTTTTCACTGTCACATACACAGAAAAAAACAAGTAGTTTTACTGGATCTCAATCTTTCTTTTTTACGTGGCATGAAAACTCGAGATGATGAAAGAACCAGGCTGGGAAGTCCAAACTTTTAAAATTCCTGTGAGCGTCACACCATGCAATTAAACAATTATTTCACCCACAAGCTAATCTATTATAAAGCCACAGTTTGTCTGACTTCCCATTTTCTCATTCTTTTTGACCGCCCAACTAACTCTTGATTTCTTGTCTCTCAGGATCATAAAGAAGGTGTCTCCAGCTTTGTGAAGCTGCATGTGGAGAGCAACTGGGGCCATCCTGACTATACATGCTTCTACATCTTCAGAGTCCATGGGAACACTGAAGAGATAGCCAGTGAACCTCCTTCCAGCCAGGTGAAGCGAAGCTAATGGAGGCTCCATGTGGATTGAAAAGATGCATCTCTACCACATTGTGAGCAGGAATTGGACATTTGTTGGTATTTTCTGTCCCTCCAAATTCCACAACACAACATCTTCTACTTATTCACAGGTGGTTTAAGTGTTTAAGCTGCACGGTGGCCGCACAGAGGAAGGACTGGTGATCAGTTCTCTATGTAGAGTTTGAGGGTTTTCTCTCGGTACTCCGATTTCCTCCCGTCCACAAATATGGAGAATTTTGATTGATCATTCAGTTGTTGAAGAGTGACCATGCTACACATTTTTAATCAAGATAATGTCTAATTATATTAATACATTATTTTTTTTATGACTTGCAATTTTTATTACAAGGGGTCAACCTACCTATACAGTGGCTCACAATCATGAGTATACTGCACACATTATTAACCACAGAGCGACATGACAGGGCATGATAAATGCAATTCTGTCAGTAAGCCAGAAGGAATATGTCTGGAAATAAAATAAAAAATAAATGACTCAATGAAATAAAATAAGATAATATAAAACGTACAATAAAGTCACATGCCCATAATATCTCATATATATCTCATATAAATACATTATTAATAATTATTATATTATTTCGAAATTTGATACCGGAAGTGAAATAATTCTATATCCGGGTGAAGCGATGTTTACAATCCGGACGTTGGACGGCTAATGCTGTGATGCTAAGTATCGAGAGTGAAAGCTGCCTTCACGTCGCACATTACATTTACTTAGCTGAACTCAAATGGCGTCTCAGATCCCCATCACGGTCCGAGCCCCGCCGACAGCCGCCAGCTCTGCCGCTAACCGGGGGAAGAAACGTCCCGGTAGTCCGGCGGTTTGTGCCGCCGGTCAGCAGGTCACCGGGAGCAGCGGTGGTAAGAAGAAGAAAGGGCAGCTGACAGCGACACCAACAACTACACAGACACAGGTAATGAACAGTAGTCTGATTACTGTTGACAGTGTGTGTGTGTCTGCAGGGTGAAGCTCATCAAACTGTTATCTAGTGAACATCTCTCAGAGTTGACTGCTGATTATAAAATACACACAGGGATTAAAGTTTATTTTATATTTACTAGACGAATGAAATGTGCAAAGAAATGCAAGAATAATGCGAAGCAGCTGAGATGCAATGCAAGAAAGCTAGTGTTGCAGATATTTACATTATTAGATAATAATCTACAGATACTTATTTGGCAGTATTGCCTGAAAGCTGATTTGAAGGAACAGTATGTAAGATTCAGGGGGATTTAGTGCCATCTAGTGGTGAGGATTATAGTTTGCAAGCAGCTGAAACTTCTCTCAGTTAGATTTTCTTCAGTGTTCTTTGTTCAGGAGGATTTTACCTGGAGCTAAATTATCCACAGAGGTGTCTTCCTCTCCAAAACAAATGAACCTAATGATTTAAGCAGGCAAAAAACACTAAATAAATAAGTTATATGTACAAATTAGTCTATCTACGTGTCGGGAACAGGCAACTATCCTAGCACCTGCTAAAATGTGCTCACCTGTTTTCTTTACTAACATATGATCCAGGGGCTGGTTGCACAAAGCACCTTAAGTTTGCTCCTTAAGTACGACACTTAAGGTTTAGTTTTTCCTTAGCTGAGAAAATTACTTAAGGATGTTTCCCAGAATCTCTTAAAATGTGTCCTTAGTCAAGGAAACACATTAAGGCATTTGCTGCACTGAAAGAGATTTCACAGCAGTAAAATTCTACTGTTTCCATGGAGACCATTTGTTTGCTTGCACTTGTGCTTGAGATAGACTCCCTGATATCATTAACTATGACATTTTAGTCATTTTGATTTAAGGTCAGGCAAACAAACTTAAGCGATTCCCTTAGTATAAGACCAAGTTAAGGAGAAAAGCCTAAGGAATAGACTTACGGATGTTTGTGCAACTGATTTTATTTTTAAAAAAAAACAACTTAATTTGGATTTAAAGGAAAATCTCAACTTAAGGTGCTTTATGCAACTGGTCCCAGATGTTAAGGAGGTTCTTACCATGAGCTGCAGAGTTCTCTTCCTTTACAAAATAAATGGATCCAGTGATCTAAACACTGAACAAAGCAATTTCACATTTACAAATAGGTGTTTTTCTGATGCTCACGACATGGAGGGGCTTCTAACAATGGTAGTATGTGTAGTATCAATTTTATATCAGATAAAGACTGAGCCATTAAATCTTATCTTTGAGGGTTAATGTGACACTGTGTTCAGCCAGCTGTTGACTGTTTACACTCAAAGACACGCAGCTTGAAATCAAATGTGATTACAGTTTGTCTGACGATGTGTTGTCTTCCAGGTAATAGCAGTGGAGTCGGTGGCTGAGGTAAAAGCAGTGGGAACAGTTGACAGCGGTGCAGCTGTCGTCACAGAGTCCACAGTAAAACCTCCACCATTCAAAGACCCCACGTTTATGGTGAGCGTCTGTGTCTACGTGGGTTTTAAGTTTATCTGCTTCTGTTTCTTCTCAGTTTTTCACCCAGTTTTTCCTCTCTTCATCTCGGCAGCATTCTGGGATCGGAGGAGCAGCAGCGGGTAAAAAGAACAGGACCTGGAAGAACCTCAAACAGATTCTGGCTTTGGAACGGACGTTACCCTGGAAGCTCAACGATCCCAACTGTGAGTGTGGTAGCTTATTTTTACCTGATACATGTTGTACTTTTTTGATTTAAATCTCTAAATGAGTAAGCTCTATTTCTACATTCTAACCCCAAAGCCTGAGACATTAATTATTGTGTTGTATGAATAATTTTTAAGGTTTTTCCAATCAAAGGTACATGTCATTTCATAAAGTGACTTTATTCTATTGACATTTAATTTGAAACTGAAATTCACTTTGAGAAGTTGAGTCAAAACTTAAATATATTCAATTTTGTCTTTGCTAATAAATTCTCATATTAGATTTCAGGTTAATGCAGTGTCATGTTTTCGGGGCAAAAAGAGGCCTTGAAAGTTCTTCACAGTACACTGTATAGCTAAACTGTGTAATTGTGCTAAATTAAAGGGCAGGTCCATCTGTGTTCTTTTCTGTGGTTTTCAAATGGAAACTCAGTCGTTATCAAAAAGTAGTGATGTAGGTGACAGCGCGGATTCCTTCCCTTTCCGATAGAAACTGGAGCCGTTATATTCCCCTCTTCTAAGCCACCAGACTCCACTGATAGCAACTGTAATTTTACCTCACTGCACATGGGAGTTGATGTTCTACCAAAGGCTCAGTTGTTTAATATACTGTGTGCGTTTTGGAACCGAAATGACGTGGTGTCAACAGCAGTACATGGGTTTATTTGAGGTACCGACATTGTGTCAAACAATGTGTGTCAGGTGACATTGGAAAAAGTTTTTAGGAAGGCTTGGGAAACGACTGTACAATCAGTTTGATTTAAGACCTTTCTGACCTTCCTTGTGTTTCCAGACTACAACATTGACGCCCCTCCCTCTTTGAAGCCAACCAAGAAATACTCTGACATCTCCGGACTCCCTGTGAGTCATCACTTCTTAAAATTTTCATTGTACAATAAACAGATAGTCAGTGTGAGCTTCATCCTCTACATCAGTGCTTCCCAACTGGTGGGATGCTGAATATATTAAACTGTGTGGACCTTGAACTAGTGACCAAGAAGAAATTTGGACCCTGTGATTGGACCAGTTGGGAACCACCACTCTACATGTTACAGGTCTTGAACATAGCACACACTAAACTCTCTTGTGTTTCCTCAGGCGAACTACACAGACCCTCAGACAAAACTACGCTTCACGTCCTCTGAGGAGTTCTCCTACATCCGCCTCCTCCCCACTGATGTTGTTACCGGCTACTTAGCCCTTCGAAAGGCAACTTGCATCGTACCCTGACAGCTGAGTGAGACTTGAAACCTGAGACAGTTTCAATCCAGAACTGACCTGGTGTTGGTGTATGAAGCTGTTGGGCTGGTCAGGAGATTCTGAGAGCACGGGGTGCTCACAGAGAGGACGCAAAGTGATGACCTCTGACAGACTGCTGGAGCTCACAGACTGGACACTGCTAAACATTTGCACTGCTGTTTTTAAGAAGGCAGTCAGAGTCGTAACTGTTACTGTGTGACAGAATAAATGCAACAAATGTGGATTTTTTTATCATTTGGAAAAAGTAAAAAAAAACAACAAAACTACTGAGTGATTGTTTCTTTTATTTGTGAGACATGTTTGTTGTTAATAGCTGGAAATTATCACTTTATCTGAGAATGGACAAAACAAGTTTAATTCTGTAAGAGAAGAGAAAGTGTAAAGAATTCATCCGAAAGTCAGCAATAGAATTTAATTGCTTATTCAAATAAATTTCTGCAACTCAAGTTGTCGTGGAGGAATCCTGATTTATCTCAGTGGAGACATTCTGAACTAAGACCTGGACGTACATACCTAGTTTTGTTCTTATCCGATAAAGGGGAAGCAAATTGTGGAACTTTGAGTTTCAGCTTTGTGAAGCCTAAAACCTGCTCGCTGTTGCGTGAGGCTTTGATTTGGGGCATTTGAGCTGCTTCCTTCTGTTGATGGAGGAAGGGCTTGAACCTGCAATTGCTGCTTGTGACTATATTTTATTACTGATTTTCCAGAGTCAAGCTGGAGAACGTACATTGATAAAAACAGGCCAAAAAAAAAAAAAAAAAAAAATCACATTCATGCAGCCTTCACGAGCATGCAGTTCATTTACTGTGTTCACCAGTGGAAGCATGAGAATTACTTCCTGCTCTTCTCTTGCATGTCCAGAAACTCAACAGTCTCTGACTGTTTCAGTTTCATCTTTGGATCTGTGAGGCCAAATGTCCTCACAGCACATTCAGTGCTTCTCATTCAGGAAGTGGTCTTCACAGTCACTCTGAGTGTGCAGCACACAGTCTGTGGTCGTTCAGTCCTCAGGTCTTACTCTCTGATATATTCTCAACCATTTCCTTCATATCCATCGTGGACTCGTACGCCTCAGTGACCAGCTGTGTTTGCTGCAAGACTTCTGGCACAGAGAAACTCTCCACCGCCTCGACATGTCCCAGGTTCTGATTCGACACCACCTCCTCCATCACCGCGTCACTCGACCCGATCACCACCCTCACTACACAACTAGAAGTGAGGCCCGTGGTGGAATCTGTGTTTGTGGTTTCCTGGACGTCTGCCGTCTGTGGGACGTAGTCTGTCTCCTCTGAGATCAGTGAGTCTTCTACCTCATTAGTCGCTTCGTTCTCACCAGGACTTCCGTCCACATCCTGCACTATCACGTTACGTAGTTTTCTCTGCCTGGGGTTGTAGTTCTCAGTGCGTTTGTGGATTTGAACGTGTCGTCGCAGGTGTGCCTGGAAGAGGAAGCATGTCGAGATGTGAGGGTTAAAATGAACAATGGAGAACGTCACACAGCTGCTTAACACATTCAGGAACAATCCCTGATTTAACGTCACACAAAGGCTCCCGTCCCCGTCCATAGAGGAGTGATGTACAAAGGATTACAGTGTGAATACAGCTGGACAGAGCAGGTGTCAGAGCCTCAGTGGCCTAATGGATAAGGCACTGGCCTCCTAAGCCAGGGATTGTGGGTTCGAGTCCCATCTGAGGTGTGAAGCAGAGTGGCGCAGAGGAAGCGTGCTGGGCCCATAACCCAGAGGTCGATGGATCGAAACCATCCTCTGCTATATCAACGTTTTAATACAGACATATTAGCTAGTATTTCCTGGAGCTCTGCTAAATTTCCTCATGCCCTGATGGCGACAGGTCAAAATTAACTGATGAGTCAACTGACTTTTTCACTTACGACGTTTACAGATGAAACAGTTCGCCTGCAGCTTTGGACACAATGGAGAACGTCACACAGCCACCGAACGCATTCAGGCACAATCCCTGATTTAACGTCACACAAAAGCTCGGTCCCCGTCCATAGAGGAGTGATGTACAAAGGATTACAGTGTGAATACAGCTGGACAGAGCAGGTGTCAGAGCCTCAGTGGCCTAATGGATAAGGCACTGGCCTCCTAAGCCAGGGATTGTGGGTTCGAGTCCCATCTGAGGTGTGAAGCAGAGTGGCGCAGCGGAAGCGTGCTGGGCCCATAACCCAGAGGTCGATGGATCGAAACCATCCTCTGCTATATCAATGTTTTCACAAAGACATATTTCCTTGAACTCTACTAGTGAACCCACCTGTCGAGTGAACTTGTAGCCGCAGTCGATGCACTCAAACTTCCTCATGCCCTGATGGCGACGCAGGTGAACACGAAGCTGCTCCCGCGCTGATCAAGACAAAAACCACAACAAGACACAGTGAGTTCATGCTCCTCCATGCTCATCAGGTCACAGTGTGTAGTCATCATGGTGTATCTCACCTTTGAAGGTTTTGCCACATATGTGACAACAGTGCGGTCGGCCCTCCTCGTGCTTGCTGGCCTTGTGGCGGACGAGGGCGCCTTTCTCTGTGAAGCGCTGCTCACAAACATCACAGCTAAACGGGCGCTCACCAGTGTGTGTCCGGTGGTGTTTATCTAGACTGGCTGGTGTTAAAAAGACAGTGATTATTAAATTAAATGATATCATCTTTTCTGTAATATGTTTAATTGATTGTCAATGTCTTTATTCCACAAAAAAGATACAGTACAGGCCAAAAGTTTGGACACACCTTCTCATTCAATGCGTTTTCTTTATTTTCATGACTATTTACATTGTAGATTCTCACTGAAGGCATCAAAACTATGAATGAACACATGTGGAGTTATGTACTTAACAAAAAAAGGTGAAATAACTGAAAACATGTTTTATATTCTAGTTTCTCCAAAATAGCCACCCTTTGCTCTGATTACTGCTTTGCACACTCTTGGCATTCTCTCCATGAGCTTCAAGAGGTAGTCACCTGAAATGGTTTCCACTTCACAGGTGTGCCTTATCAGGGTTAATTAGTGGAATTTCTTGCTTTATCAATGGGGTTGGGACCATCAGTTGTGTTGTGCAGAAGTCAGGTTAATACACAGCCGACAGCCCTATTGGACAACTGTTAAAATTCATATTATGGCAAGAACCAATCAGCTAACTAAAGAAAAACGAGTGGCCATCATTACTTTAAGAAATGAAGGTCAGTCAGTCCGGAAAATTGCAAAAACTTTAAATGTGTCCCCAAGTGGAGTCGCAAAAACCATCAAGCGCTACATCGAAACTGGCACACATGAGGACCGACCCAGGAAAGGAAGACCAAGAGTCACCTCTGCTTCTGAGGATAAGTTCATCCGAGTCACCAGCCTCAGAAATGGCAAGTTAACAGCAGCTCAGATCAGAGACCAGATGAATGCCACACAGAGTTCTAGCAGCAGACCCATCTCTAGAACAACTGTTAAGAGGAGACTGCGCCAATCAGGCCTTCATGGTCAAATAGCTGCTAGGAAACCACTGCTAAGGAGAGGCAACAAGCAGAAGAGATTTGTTTGGGCCAAGAAATACAAGGAATGGACATTAGACCAGTGGAAATCTGTGCTTTGGTCTGATGAGTCCAAATTTGAGATCTTTGGTTCCAACCGTCGTGTCTTTGTGAGACGCAGAAAAGGTGAACGGATGGATTCCACATGCCTGGTTCCCACTGTGAAGCATGGAGGAGGAGGTGTGATGGTGTGGGGGTGTTTTGCTGGTGACACTGTTGGGGATTTATTCAAAATTGAAGGCACACTGAACCAGCATGGCTACCACAGCATCCTGCAGCGACATGCCATCCCATCCGGTTTGCATTTAGTTGGACGATTATTTATTTTTCAACAGGACAATGACCCCAAACACACCTCCAGGCTGTGTAAGGGCTATTTGACCAAGAAGGAGAGTGATGGAGTGCTGCGGCAGATGACCTGGCCTCCACAGTCACCGGACCTGAACCTAATCGAGATGGTTTGGGGTGAGCTGGACCGCAGAGTGAAGGCAAAGGGGCCAACAAGTGCTAAACACCTCTGGGAACTCCTTCAAGACTGTTGGAAAACCATTTCAGGTGACTACCTCTTGAAGCTCATCGAGAGAATGCCAAGAGTGTGCAAAGCAGTAATCAGAGCAAAGGGTGGCTATTTTGAAGAAACTAGAATATAAAACATGTTTTCAGTTATTTCACCTTTTTTTGTTTAGTACATAACTCCACATGTGTTCATTCATAGTTTTGATGCCTTCAGTGAGAATCTACAATGTAAATAGTCATGAAAATAAAGAAAACGCATTGAATGAGAAGGTGTGTCCAAACTTTTGGCCTGTACTGTACATTTGGTAAGATAGCACAGGATTCCTTCAAAGTTGAACCAAAGAGTGTGCAGGCTGGGTTTGGGTCCTAAATGATAACTTCTTAAGTAAAAGTTAGTCATGTGCTGCTGTCACTAACAGAGACACAGTTAATTCAATTCAATTTTATCTATAAATCCCAATATCATAAATTAGTATGTGTTCAAAAACGTACCTGACTGCTCAGTTTGGATTCAGCTATTAATTTATCTATTAATCTAATCCAGGGGTTTTCAAAGTGTGTCATTGACGTTTATTCAAGATGGACATTGCAGACACTGATATCCTCAAAAGTGTGAGTCACTGACTCTAAACATGTGTCTTAATGTCTGTTCTGATTGAGAGATTTACATTTGAATTAAATGGCACCATTTGAGTTCATGTACCATAGTTGCCTCCATGAACTTTGTGTCACAGACACTGCTGTAACTCCAGATCTTGACCGTGTTAGTAACTGAGCCAAATCAGCAGCCAGACTGTAATATCTAATACCATGTTGTTTCTGACCTAATCCGTTCAACATAGTTACGTTCACTCTAATGTAGAATGGTATCCGTTACCTTGGGTCCTGAAGGTTTTGCCACAGAGATGACACTGATACGGCCTCTCACCGCTGTGTATACGCAGATGCATGTTGAGGTTGTTCTTCTGGGAGAATGCGTGGCCACACATGTTACATACAAAGGGGCGCTCATTTCTGTAAAGCAGAACAGAAATTTTAAAAAAGACTGAAACAATCTGCACAGATGCTGTCTCAAAACTGACACATTCTCATTTAAAAGGTCATACTTCATAGAGTTTTCAGGTCCCTCTATTTAGGGATGCACCAATCTGATTTTTTCAGTCCCAATACCAGAACCGGTACCTGGGCTTTGGGTACAATGGGGCTGATCAATTCCATTGTTACTATCAGCCTAGTATCCAACATCAGTATTGGAATGGTGCATCCAGACCTCTACTGTGGTCAAACCAGTACTGTTGCATACAAATAAAAAACATGCTCCACTACCTGTGAATAGCTTTGATATGCATCTGCAGGCCGTTTCGACTTGATGCTCGGTGGCCACACTCCTCGCAC